GAAGTGACTGCTATAAAAACGATGGAAGCCTGAACTGTGCAAGCAGAAAGTTATTTGTAACTCTAGCCCTACATTGGTAGAAAGATAGATGCAGATAACACCAACAGCTCATCCACGGTAAATGTTACTTGTTAGTTGTCATTATGTTCTTTGACTTTATTATGTACCTAAAGAGATACAGCGAAATCTTTCCGGAAATAAATTGTGCAACACTGTGCTGCTGAGTTCTTTATTTAATGCTCTGCATATATATATATATATATATATATATATATATATATATATATAACACCGGTTTGCGAACAAGCACGGTGCCAACGCCAAAACAATAATAACAACAACAATGAGGTTGGGATACAGAACATAGGAAAAAGACAGAACAATTAAAATGGGAAAGACCAAATAAATGGGATGACAAATTTTTGTGTTTTATCGTACGCTTTTTGAAATTTTTGTGTTAGTTTGTCTTTTTCTTATGTTCTGCATAGGACGAATTTTATCCCCTAACTAAATCAAATCCACAACCAACTACGGAAATAATACATCCTTCGGTCAAAATTACTATCATTATTATTAGTCGGATTAAGACGATCGAAATCCGACCGAGTTAGGTTCAATTTGGTCACCTATCGGTTCCGACTAACTGGATGAATTAAGACTATCGGAGATTAAAACCACAGTGCTCTTATAGGCAGTCGGATGAATGTTGATTTCTATTGCTATAACTCGCATGTCCGTCAGATCGTGCTGAATCGACCTTGAACATCTCCAATACAATAGTTCAATCATACAAGAAAGTCACAGAAACAATGGGGACTTGAATAAACCCCAAAGAAAAAGACCGACAAACAAATCATTAAAAAACCTCGATTTCTGTGTATTCATATGGAACAAATAAGATTATTTCCAATTCGATTGATGAAACCACTCATTTGGGATACCAGATGTCAGTGAGCTAGTGTTCATTTTTCGCTGGCGCACAAGAATTTCTTCTCTAACTTATCAGTACAGTATGGAATAAGGATTTTCACATCTGTATTACCGCTGTGGATTTTGAGTCAAAGATTTTACCCGTAAGTTTCGCTTTCAACACACATCAACTTGAACGAGTTCCCTTCTTCCATTTAGGATATAACTTTTGAATTAACTCATTCATTGTATGTGATGTAATCGGGCTCTCATTCCATTGGTTGTTTTAATTCAGTTCGATGTAACATTTCGTATATCATCAGGAAGTAAGAAACCCGTTGTATATCCTCGGCTAGTATACTGTCAATAATATAATGGGTGACACACTGAACACATTTTAAAAAGTGCTCAACATAAATTTCGTTTCTTTTAACTGGATATATGACGTGATGGAGAGCGAGCTATGATCTTTCAGGAGTGATTGAAAATACCATTCAGTCGTGTTTATAAGAGGAATTGAGACAGGACAGGTCTACGGTTGGTGGAGCACTACGCTCATGGGTTCATCTCCCAGTTGCAGATAGACGAATGGCAACTTAGATGATCAACTGTGATCAGGTGAGCATTACTTCACAGATCGCAGATGTTGTCTGAAGATGTGGTGAGTTTTCGCCCTAGCTGTCTCGATCTGAACTAGAACAAACACCTTGACGCTCTGACGGGTCACCAAAGTAAGGTTCTTACCATTACAATGTTGCTCTGCAACTAGCATTTGACTGCGTATCCGTAAAAATGGTGAATTATATTGGGGTGATACTTTGTGCCATACGTCAAAGATTCCTCACAGATTCATCCACAAAAACGATTTATTCCCTCAAGAGTAGCCAATTATATGTTGCAGATGATAGTACCAAAATGCGACGTCACCATTTAATTCCCTTTCAAAAATGATGATATAGGCCAACTCATATGAAGACGGGTGGTGGCGACTGTAGCTCTTACGTATTTTGCTGAAAATCCGGAAGTTTGCGTTTCAACAACCCAGATTCAGAAACCCTTGGTGAAATTACCGCTCCTTCTGTCTCCCAACTCGCATGTAATCTATGAATTTCAATGTAGGTGCGGAACTACCTACGTAGACAGAACAGAGAGGTAGCT